GACACATTCTAAAGCTCCTATGACTCACAGAAGATTTTCAGAATTATTTTTAGACGAATATATTTTTCGTTGTTTATTTTCATGAGTTTTCATATCAACCGGATCTCAAATTATACCGAATTTGTAATAAAAAAAGTTCTCTATTCTCAACCAAGTTTTCGCAATTTAAAAAATATCTCTTACAAGTATTAATATAATTAAACTATAGACAAATCTCGACATTTTTTCACGAATATAAGGCTATTCGGGCAATTATTTCGTATAATTTAAGTTCTGATTACTATGAAAAAACTCATAAAAATAGACAAAAAACAAACAATATTCATTGGAAAACAATCTCGAAAAACTTCATTGAATTTTACTCAAAAGTTATTTAAAAAATGATGGTTGATATTTAAAAAAAAACCAAATCATACAAGTATAAATCACTCGCAACGAAGAACAAGTAGTAGCTAGGTAAGATAGGTGTATTTCATCGATTAGTCACATTTGAATGGAAAAATAGAAGTGTCATGCACATGTATCAATAAATGATGCAAACGTTATTCGAATGACGGCATAACAAAGGGAAAAATACGGTGAAATATATCATTGAGGGAGTGATTATCAAATGGGAAACTTTTTACCTATAAACTATTAGTATGTTATATCGTTGGTAATATATTTGGACTATTTCCCAACAATAGCACTTGAATATGTATAAATATGATAGTTGCATTGCTGTAGATTTATTTCAAAGTAGCACTATTGAATCAAATAAACAGACAATACTTAGTAAGAACTATCGTATACGTAACTCACTCGACGATAAAAAATCATGTACAAGCATATCTTTATTTGGTTCTTCATTGTTGTCATGGCATTTATGTTCACCAGTGGTGTACCATTGGAAAAAACTGATAATAAAAACGATTCCAAACCGCATAGATTCGTTCATCATAATGAATCTGACTTGGATGAATTGTTAAAAGTGGTGAACGAAGCTGGTCAAGATCATGAAGACTTTCATAAAGTGTTGAGAAAACGAGCCACCTTCACCGCAGAACAACGTCAATTTCAGAATGATGTGTTATATGCACATAATTACTATCGTGCTTATCACTGTGCTCAATCTCTTCAGCTTGATGATTTACTTAGTACTTCGGCTCAAAACTTTGCTCAAAAACTTGCTGACACAAATCAATTTTATCATAGTGGAACTAAAGGTGTTGGTGAAAATCTGTACATGGCAACTAGTTCAAATGGTATCAAACTTCATGGTAAGTCATCTTCAAATCATCAGACATATTCATCATATATGATTATTCGAACATTGCAGGATATACAGGAGTGATTTCTTGGTACAATGAAATTAGAAGTTACAATTTCAATAACGGAGGCTTCTCAATGGCTACAGGTCACTTTACACAACTTGTCTGGAGAAGTTCGACAAAACTTGGTGTGGGTATTGCTTATGGTAATGGAGGCCGTTCTGCCTATCTTGTTGCTCAATATACACCTCCAGGCAACTATATAGGTCAATTTCAAACGAATGTTCTTGCACATGGCAGTTGCTAAATTGGTTATTTTTATTGATGATTTAGCAATTAAAACAGAACTCGTGATTTCATATATTTATATCTACTTTTTAAATATTATTTAATCAATAAATCACTTTAAATCTATATAATGTGTATTTTCT